ATTTCAGGTTAGTTTTTTTTTTCTTTTTACCAATTTGCATTTCGTTCATTGCTGTCATTTGATTTTCACGTTACTCAAGCTTTAATCTTAGTTTGTTGAGATGAGAACAAGTAGAGCCTTTGATAAATAAATAAATAAAAAACGTGAGTTGACTCTTATGAAATCAAGAGTAAGAGAGTTAGAAAATGAACAGAAGTAGAGAAATAGGAACATGAATAAAAAGAGTAAAATATTCTGATGAGTTTTTGTTTGATCTAAGAGATAAAATAAGAGGAGGTTGGGTCTTGTTATAGGTTGGAAATCCAGCTTAAGGTTTGATTTTTTTATAAACAAAAAGATTGGGACGTGGGTTGGGTTTAGCCCGACCCACACTGATTGGAAGGCTGGGCTGGCTTTTACCCAGCTTCGGCCTAGCGATTTTTAAAAAAAAATAAGGAGGAAATAGACTAGACTTGGATTCGGTCCAGCCTCCTCTTTCCTTTTCTTCGTATAAAAAAAAAAAAAAAGAAAAGAAAAGAAAACAAATAAGAAGCTCGAGTTGGTCTAGCTTCCCAAGAGAGAAAAATAAAAAAAAATAAAAAAAGGAACTGAAAAACAAACAGACATAAAAAGTGAATAACCCAAAATGAAAAAAGAAACGGAATTAGGAAAAGAAGAGGTACGAGAGAAATAGGGTATAGGTAAGTGGGTCTAGGGTCGAAGCTAGTTTATTTTAACATCTTTTTATATAGCTTGATTATTTTTTTTAGTTTTCGTTATTATTATTATTATTGCAGTGCTTTAAAGTTGGTATTTTAATTTTTTTTATGTGAACTTCTTTTTGTGAGTTGTTATATTAGGAAAAAAATATCTAAAATTTTTAACGAAGTCTCTTATATGATAGAAGCTGTCGTTTGACAAAAAAATATATATATATATATATATATATATTATCGACGAAGTCTCCTGTCCGATAGGGACCGACGTCACCAAACATTATCATTTGATCGGGATGTCCTCCGATACATCGGTTGTATTAAGGCTTAGAGGGGATCCAATGTTTGAGCCGACGTGTTATCCGACGGAGGAGACCGACGATCGTTTCAATACGATGCCCCGCCCAATAACTAATTTTTTTTTTTGGCTTTAAAATTGGAGTACAAAAATTAGAAAATAATTGGCAATAAATAAATAAAATATTCTAGGAAACGAATTTATGATTAAACTAAATGTGGTACCTTTTTTAGGAAAAAACATATTTGGGTGATCAATATCTTCTCAAAACGTAATCAACTCCTTACCATAAAATCTCTTAACCAGGTGTAACTTTTAGGTTCTTAGTTCCTCAATACTAGGTGGCGACTCCAAATTTGTAAATAATATTAAGAAAGGGGAGTCCTGTCGACGTTGGGTAACGACATTTGATTATACTTAATTTTATATTATTTTTATTTAATAAATGTCATCTTCTATTGTAATTTTTCATATTTTTTACTTTTTTTTTAAAGTATTTGTTCTAAGATTTCACTTTTGTGTTTTATTTATTTATTTTTGTCATGTGTTTGATAATACATGTCACATTAAAATATCAAATATACGTACAGTTAACGGATATATTATCTATTACTTAACTACACAACTCAAATAAAAAAAATTACAATTTGAATCACTAAAATAATAAAAATGAAAAGATATATATTTGAATTTTTTTTTACTTATTTGAACACAAAAAAATTATTTTCTTTCTATTTTTTTCTGTCCTTTTTTTCCCCTAATAATTGAAGATAGTGCATGAATGTGACAGTTTGTGACATTTCTAAAACATGGTATACGCGAGTCTTTTTCTTTATTTATTTCTTTTGGCTTTTTCCTAATAATTGAATATAGTACATGAATGTGCGTCACCAGGTAAATCAATCGTAAGAAGCCGAGCAACAGGTTGTACACAAGAGACCACATGTCCCAGTCTGTGGCATCAATCAGACTGACCACGTTCAATCCATCATGGAGAGACTCCACTTGCCACAATGTTATAGTTTTGTGACATTTCTCGACGGATTCAACAGAATCAAGAACAAAACTTAAGCAACATGCATGCTAGCTAATTGCTCCACCCATAATATATGAGCAGAACTAATTTTTACAGCTAGTCTCTTTGTTTTTGTTTTCTTCCGATGTTTATATACAATTATATATTTCTATTTTAATTTTTACCGTCAATCAAAACTAAATTTATTATTTTTTTATTCTAGATAAATTAGTTTTGCAATTTTAATATATGTCTTTTATTTTTATACCTAGCTTTAGATTTACTATTTTTTTTGAAATTTTTGAGTTCCTTATATCTATTTATTTAGTTAATGTTTAGGTGTTAAATTTTTTTCGATAATTAAATTAGATAATTAATTGATAGACGAGTCATCAAGTCTCCTAATTTTTAGGGATTGATAACAAATCTCTACCAACAAAAAAATATAAAAAAATGATAAGAAAGAATGAAAATGATTAAAAAAAAAAACGAGAGAGACGAGAGAGATAGAGAGAGAGAGAGAGAGAGTTAGAGAAAATGATAAGAAAAACGAAAATGATAAATAAAAAAAGACAAAAAAAGAACTATATATATATAGAAAAGACTAGGTGAAAACTAATAAATTCTCATATATAATAGAGACTAATATAACTCAAATAAATCATATTTTAGTAATTAGGTTGTTCTTCGACATATCAATTATATCAAGATTTAAATTGAATCCGATAGTAAATTGATGAGACTCTAGATAATGGGGTTTTACGATCGATTTGATATAATGTCATAAAAAAATAAAAAAAATTAATTTGACTTAAGGAAATAAAACGTGGAATTTTGACTTAAGATCAATTTTGGCAAAAATAAAAATTTTTAGCGAGATAAACTTTAGTACTAAACTAGACATGATATCTATTTTAGGAAAATGTGTCATTAGGTGATTGATAGCTTTCCAAAAATATAACAAACTCCTTGCCTTAAAATCTTCAAATCGAGTGTCCATTTTAGATTTCTAATTACTTTTAATACTAGGTGGAGCCTCCAAAATTAATAATAGCTCATATTCCCAAACAAATAAAATCTTCAACAAATAATAATTGTAAATTTTTGGGAGTTCCATAAAAGTCGGGTAGCGACAATAAATTTAGTGTATAATATGTAAGAATACTATATTCTTTAAGACAAGTAAATTATAAATTAGTATCTCTATTTTTGAGAAACAAATTAATTAGTCTCTTTTGTTTTAAAAAATAATTATATAGTCTTTGTTTTTTAAAATTTTCTTGTAACTTAATTGTTCTCCCTCTTTTTAAATTTATTTGGATTTTTTGTTTCAAAAAATAGAAAAGGTTAAAAATAAGTAAATAAAAAATAAAAAGATTGATGAGAAATTATGACAATTTATGAAATAAAATAATATTAAATTAAATATAATCAATATTTTTTATAAAATTAAATAAATAAGATTTAAAACAAGAGGAATTAATTAGTTTGTTCCTAAAAATTACAAGAACTAATTTATAATTTACTCTCTCTAAGACTGTACATTTAGCCCATAAAGTGTTGGTTCGGGTGGTAAGGAAGATTCATTTTATTTGAGTCCTCTTATTAGTTTTTTCAATTAGGAGATGTCATATCTGTATCAAATTAGCTCCACTCATGAAGATACCTTATTTCGGCTCCAATATAAGTGTGATAGTATCTTTTCGAACCTGTGTGGATATGAAAGGCTCTCATTTTTTTTATAAAAAAAATACCATATTTTGCTTTATTTCATGCATGTTTTAAAGTTCTTTGTTACGGTGAGGCATGAATTCCATTTTCTCAAACAATCAACTTGAATATATATATTGAATATCTTTGAATCAGTTTTTATATTAATCGAGATTAAGTTTATCATTTTCTGACTTATTTTTTGGCTTATTTTCTGGCTTATAAATTAAGGATTTAGATCATCTTCTCTGTTCCAAATACATTTGTGCTCTATTTTTTTAATACGTTTTGATAAATTTATTATAGTTAATTAACGATTTCGAGCATCTTCGTATTTGTACCCATAAGATTAGAACTTATTTTGGTATCAACACATGGACCATTAAATCAATCGTAACAAGTAGGATAAAGTTACAAATAGATGCATAAATGCAGAACCATTACCTTTTGGTGAAGACATTCTAAATTACACACAAACTTACAAGCCTGTGAAAAATAGAGGAAAAGTACAAGCAACAAATTTGTGATATTTTGAACTTCAGTATAATATGGCAACATGCATCCATTCCCGTCCACTAGATTTCAATACACATGTCTGATAGTGAATTTTACGTACAAGTGTCACATGCATCACTAGTGGACACATCAACATCTTGTACCTCATTTCTTTGAATTTTTTGATCTACAATTTCCTTATTTAAGGCTGCCTACTGAAGCCGTTCTCTACATCACAATTCTCATTCATTATCTCTTTTAGAAAACTCAGCAGTTACAAAAGGTTGCTACTCGATCTATAATTTATTTCTTGGCAATTTGAACTTTACAATTTTCTTCAAATGTTCTTTTTATATATTATTTTCTATCAATTCTTTATTCATATGATTTCATCATTTAATTTCTTTCATAATGTGTTTTTATTGCATGTTTTGTTTTCTGTAAAAACACAATATTTAGCCCATAAGGAGTTGGTTCGGATGCTAAGGAATTGGTTCCGACATAGATATGATGGTATCTTTACTGACGCATGTGGGTGTAAAGACTCTCATTTTCTGATAAAAAGACTATGTTATGCTTTGCTTCATGCATGTCTTGAAGTTCTTTGTTAGTTAGTTTTTTTTTTTTTCAATACATATTGGATAGTGGAATTGGATATCATTTCCTCTTCCAAACGCATTTGTGCTCAATTTTTTTATATGTTTTTTGGGTAAATTTATTAATTAGTTAATTAACGATTTTGAGCATCTTCGTCTATTTTGATAGGTGAAACCGAAGAACAGAAACAATGAAGGCGTTGCTTCAGATAACAACAATATGGGTTTGGTTAACTGTAGTTATTGTGCCAGGATTGGTGTGCCCATCAGTAATAGAAGAAACAAAGGCACCCCAATACAAAACAGTAACCTTCAACTTTAAAGGTGCTACCGAAACTGGGCCGTACAAGGATTTTGTGGTGTCTCTGCGAAATGAAGTCAAACACAGCACGGATAGGAACGGATTACCAGTCACAGCAAAAACAGCAGACGTTTCCAAACGATTGGTTTTAGTTGATCTCAAAATTGATAGTGAAAAGTTCATCACACTAGCAATAAATGTCATTGATTTGTATGTGGTGGGTTATCGTGATAAATATAACGGGAAAGATCGCGCCAATTTCCTTAAAGATGCTCCCAAAGTTGCAAGAGATAATCTTTTTGAAGAAGCAAAGTAAGGAAAACAAGTTAGAGAAACTTTATTTAAAGGCACCTATACAGATCTTGAACGTTTTGCCGGAGATAGACAAAAGTCTGTAGATAGAAAGACGATTCAATTGGGAGTTGGCAAGCTACAGAAAGCCATCGATGATGTCTATGGGAAAAACGCCGACACGAAGATTGAGGCTAAATTTTTCATTATTTCTATCCAAATGGTTTCAGAGGCAGCAAGATTCCAATATATACTGAATAAGGTACTCGAAGGAGGCATATACGGAAGTTATAAACCAGATTTCAAAGCGACTTCCTTGGAGACCAATTGGGATAAGATCTCTAAAGCTATTCAAAATGCTGATGCTGCTTCTGGAGAATTTCGCCCACCGACTAGTTCAGTTAGCTTACAGGATGAAAAGGGAAAAGCATGGATAGTTAAGAAAGTGAGTGACATAAAGAACGACATGGGACTTTTGAAGGGCCAAGCATCAAAGTTTTCTCAACTTATGCAAGCGGCAGATATCTAATATCTTAACTAAATGGCCACAAAATATGTTATGCTATTATTATGAAATAAGTGAGGTGTAATCTTGTTGTTGTTAAATAAGCCAATGAGTTATAGTTCATTTGGCATTAATTAGTGTCTCTTCTATGTTATTAAGAGGATCTCTCTTTGTGTAGAAATAAAAAATAAAAAAATCTCTCTTTTGCTATTTTATTTTAATGAGTTTGATATTATACAAATTAGTGTTTTTGCTAAGAAAAATTCTTGTTTTGGCCCTTCAATTATATAGAGTATAATTGCCAAAAAAAAAAAAAAAAGTCACAAGATTCTCATGCAAGTCAAATTGTTGTACATTTCGATAAAATTTAAACTTTTATCTCTCTTGTATAATTTCTGGTCCCAATCTTGCATTTTTCGTAATTAGTGTCCGCCAAGAGATTTGATTGTTGAGCTCTCCCTGATTTTCTTGGTAAGTTTATTTTTGTATTTGTCGTCTAGTTCACGAGGCAATAGTATTTTTTTTTTTTTTTCAGTTTTAGTGGGCATGCAAGTCCTTGAAAAGGAAAGAAAGTGAGCGGAGTTTCCTCTCTTCGTACAAAACATCACTATTGTGTTGTTATTTGTTAGAGTTTAATATAAATTATATTATAAGATCTCACCTATTAGCTTAAGCTTTTAGATGAGGTGATCCTTTAATATGGTATCGAGCTTGATTGATCGTGAGGTCCCGAGTTCAAGTCTCATCATTTCTAATTTCTCAAGTATTAAGCACAAGGCAATGTAGATCTATGTAAGTTTCATGTCCCAAATGTTAGGCTTTTCACTTGAGAGGATGTAATAGAGACTAGTATAAATTATATTCTAGAACTCTCGTATTAACTTAAGTTTTTAGGTAAGATGATCATTTAATATTATTCGACTAAAAAAAACCAACAAGCCCATTGAGGAGGTATTTGTTGTTGGGCCTTATATATAGAAGCATAAAGTGAAATACACTATATAGAAGAAATGCAATAATTGAATTTGAAAATCAATTTTAGATTTTTTTAATTAGTATATCAATTTTTATTTATTTTTTTAGTATATTAATTTTTTTAACCTTTCAATCTAGTTTTTCCATGCAAATTACCGTTAATTGATGACATGATAATTAAACAAAAGTACTTTTTTGGTAGATATTAATAAATTATCCTACCTAACATGGGACTCGATCCTACTTTTTATGAGTAAAGGATTGATATTTTTAAATATGATACATTGAATATTTTCTCTTAACAAAGAAAATTATGTATCGTACGTGCATACATATTGATACATATTTTATTAGATAAAAAAATACTTTTGCTATTTTATTTTACCGAGTTTGATATTTTACAAATTATAGTTTTTGCTACAAAAAATTCTTTTTTCTTTTCTTCATTTATATAGAGTATATGCATCACTAAATAAACGTCCGAGTTATTTTTACCCTCCGAAACAAGTGCATGATAATTGAATTTTTATTGGGATCAGTCTATTTCCACGACGTGTTAGTCTAAATCCACCATAAATTATTTATGAGTAGAGCCCTCGAGCTTTTCAAATTTTGTTTGGAAACCCTTTCTCTCTCACATATTACAATATAGTTGCTTGAATCAATTTTTTGTCATTTATGTGTCATTTTACGTAAGTTTTTAGATCGACCTCTTCTCTTATCAATGGATCAAAATGATCCTTAATCCATATAAGGCAATGAAGGTTTTAAAATCAAAGAGGTTTAATTCTATTACAAGCACAATTTATTTTTATTTATTTTTTGAAAAGTCAAAATTTAATAAAAAAGATTTTAAAATGAAAAAAAAGGGGACTAAATCCATTGTATAGTATGGTAAGAACTCAATAAAGAATAATTTGTAAAAACAGTTCTATCTTAACCAAATATATATATATACAATTTCCAAACATAATATAGTGGGCTATACAACTTTATTATTACTACTAAAGACAACTTTGTCATCCTATAATATAATCAATATAAGTTAATTAATAAAGTACTAGTTAGTGTTCATTGTCTAACAATTGTATCACTAAATTGTTCGGAAAAAGATTTAATTTCAATCCACGTTAAATACTCGTTAAAAAAAAGCTGATACTTTTTTTGTAATTATTTATTATTGATATTAAATACAAGGTCCAAAAAGTTTCGGCATCGATTTCTTGATCGATGGTCGCTTCTGCTAAAACTTCAAATAAGAAGCAAAATCAATATTATACACCTAGTAGAAAAAGGTCGGAATTGGTTTTTCGATCAACTTTTTTGACCAAAATGTTAAAAAAAAAAACTTAATATCATATGACATGCAGATTATAATTTTGAAAATTTTTAGAATTTTTTTGGCTTTTTAATCGGGAGTTTTTTGGTCAAAATATTCACTCATGATTAAAAAAATGATCAAAATGAAAAATTAAAAACTTAAAAATGTTAGGGATATAATAGTATAAAGACAAATTGAACTATTTATCTTTATAATTATTTACATAACTATCATTAGCAAGAACTTCGTGGTGAAGAAACTAAGAATCAATTGCAAGGCTATCAAAAATTGTTTGTATTGCGGTAAACCCTTTAAATAAAGTTTTAGAGATAGAGTTATAGTAAGTTACCGAAAGATAGAGTTACGGTTATAGTGTTACCGAAAGATAGAATTATAGTTACGAGTGTCTAACTCTTATCTAACTTATATCTTGATATATACAATAACAAAAACTTAGCCTAATCATCCTCTCTCAAGTCGAGCTACATGAAAAACGACCGACTTGTTAGCTCTGGTGGAAGAATTTACGTTTGGACAAAAATTTGGTCATGACATCGACTAACTGATTGTTAATAGAAATGTAGCGCACAAACAATTCGTGCTTGCCTACTTTATTCGAAAAAAGTGGAAATCAATTTTCAAATCTTTAGAACATGCATGAAACACCAGATTAGCCATGAGATAGGTTGTTGAAATATTGTCATACCATATGATTGGTGGTGTTTAGAGAGGAAACCTAATCTCACATAATATGGATTGAAGTTAGGTGATTTCGATGTTGTTGTTGCTAGGGCTCAATATTCAACGTCGGTGGATGAACGAGCCATAGTCTTTTGTTTGCATGATGTCTAGGAAATAAGGTTACTACCAAGAAAAATAGCAAAGCTTGTGGTACTCTTTACGTCAACTAGGTCACCTCCCTAATCAACATCTATGTAAGTTGATATATGGAGAGAAGATGATGGGGGTAAGGCACGGTCCGTGAGTTAGAGTTCCTTTGAGATTTCATAAAATTCATTTAACGGAGCACCAATGCTCGGTTGTAGGAGCATGTATAAATTGAGTTGCACGATTGATGGCAAAGAAAACTTCTAATCTTGTTAAAGTAAGGTACTAAAGTCAACCAACAATACTTCGAACATGGTTGGATTGTCAAAAGCGAGTGGTATCTTGTATGGATGAATGAGGACTCCCAAGTGTGGCCACGAGTGGCGGCGTCATGCATAAGCACTCGTTTCAAAATATCATAAATATATCCGGATTGACATAGGTGTAGTCCTTCCTTACTTCTAGTCACCTCTAAGCTAAGAAAATAATGGATAGAATTATGAGTGTCTACTTAGCACTCCTCTAGAAAATAGCCCCTCTAACTAGTAGGTAGATATAGCTCGATGTGGATCTTCGATTGTCTTGGCATTTAGCAAAATTAGAATTAGAATACCCAATGATTTCCAGTTGATCCATTTCCTATATGTGAGCATGCAATCCTTTATTCTTTGTAAGTACTTGCATAACTCGTTTGGTCGCTTTCCAATGGTCCATTATGAGATTGCTCAAATATCTACACAACATCTCAATAATGTACACAATATCTAAATGCATACGCACTTGAACATACATTAGACTCCCTATAGCTGAAGCATGGAGAATTTTTTGCATCTCTTTCACTTCAAACTCATTTTTGGAGGATTGATTGAGATTGAAATTGTCGCCCTTAGCAACAAGGGTGTCTTTTGGTTTACAATCTTGCATACCAAATCTTTTAAGAAATTTTTTGATATCACTCTTGTAGCACCCGTACTATAACCTATACATTATGGAATCGCAAGTGGGAGGATGATACACATAATAGATAACTTAGCTCAAATAAAATCCAAATATAATAATTAAATTCCTAACATTTCATCGTAGGATTGTAATGTAAGATATTAAATATAATTGTCAAACTTTTTAACACATACCATAACTAAACAAGTGTACCAAAACATAAAACAATATACATGTTATAATTTCAAACATAAACATAAGAATCAAGTGGGTAACAAGTAAAATATCATAAAGCTAAACACATAATAAGCTTTAAGTTGCCTCTTAAACCTAACATTTAACTAGCCAAAAGGGACCAAAGTATAATCCCTACATAATAGTATGTTCGAGAGGCACCGGTTGCATCTTTAATGTTCAAGGAGGCCTTTTGAGCCAAAATCTCTTCACCTAAGAAGTTGTGGAATCGCCACCTAATATTAAAAAGAAATAAAAAAGCCTAGAAAGATACTTGGATTCAAAGATTTGGATAAGGAGTTATTTATGCCAGTTGGAAAGATAAAACTTACCTAGAGACACTCTTTACGGAGAAAGATAATGAGTTTAACCTAATCCTAAAAATATCTCCTAAAGGTACTGTTTGCAATAAATTTTCTAAATCATATTCTTAAGTTTATTTGGTCATCTAGGTAAAAAAAAATAATTATTTTTATTACGAAATCGTATTAAATTGACCTCGAGCTCTAAACCAAGAGTCTCGTTAATTTGAATTGAATCCAAATTATAAAAAAAAAAAAACTAAAAGAAGTGCATATGAGACTATTCATTCGAGTGTAGCTCTAGACTCATTGTCCCTATTCATTAATTTTTTGTTGCTTATTGGTCCCTCTTTCTTTGAGAGATGAATTAATTAGTCCCTTTGCTTTTCTTTTCTTTTCTTTTTTCCCCCCTTTTTTCAAGGGCT